AAGAAAAAGAATGTTTAGCTATTAGCTATTTCTCCCTTTCTTTCTCCGTTGCTTTGTTCCTCCCTCCCTACCTTCTTTGCTTCTTTTTCTTTTATACTTGCCATACTGCATATCACATTTCTAAGACTTATTAATCTTATAATTGGAAGTGTGTACCTTTTGACCACTTTCACCCATTTTGCCCACCAACCACCACCCCACCTTTGACAACCACCAATCTGTTCTCTGTCTGAATTCAGATTTTTTTTAGATTCCACAGGTTAGACTTATTATACATTATTTGTCTTTCTCTGTCTGATATTTCATTTAGCATAATGCCCTCAAGGTCCATCCATGTTGATAAAAATAACAGGATTTCCTTTTTTTATGACTGAATAATATTCCATCATCTATGCAGGATTGGGCAAAAGTAGGTTTACAGTAGTCCATATGGAAAATCTATACATATAAGAGCCTAAGTGACTGTTACAACCAGATGACCGGCCTGTAGCTATCACATGCACTGACCATCAGGGGTCAGTGCACTCCCACAGCCAAGCTCTAATGACCAGCCAAACTCTTGCAGCCCCAATTGCCAGCCAGGCCGAGGGACTCCACCTGTGCATGAATTCGTGCACCTGGCCTCTAGTAATACAATAATTTATAAGTAGTTATACAAGAATAAACTCAGTTTCACATACTCACAACTATAAACATACTTTTTCCCAACCCTGTATATACCACATCTTTATCCATTAATTTTGCCAATGTTGTTGTTTCCCTGCCTTGGCTATCTCAATACTGCTTTAATGAAATATGGGGCAGCAGATATCTTTTAGAGATAATGATTTCATTTCCTTCAGATAAATACCCAGAAGTGTACCTACTGGATCATATGTTAGTTATATTTTTAATTTTTTAGGAAACTCCTACTATTTCCCATAATGGCTGTACCAGTTTACATTCCCAGTGCACAAGGATTCCGTTTTCTCCACTTTTTTGTCAACACTTATTTTTTGACTTTTCCATAATATCATTCTATTATGTGTGAAGTGATATCTCATTATTATTTTCATTTGCATTTCCCTGATGATTAGTGATGCTACGCACCTTTTCATGTACCTCTTGGCCATTTGTATATCGTCGTTTGAAAAAATATGTCTATTCATATCCTCTGTGCATTTTTAAATTGTATTGTTTGGGTTTTTTCTATTGAGTTGTATTGAGTTCTTTATATATTTTCTATATTAACCCCTTTTCAGGAATATGACTTGCAAATATTTTCTCCTATTCAGTAGAAAAATATTGATGGTTTTCTTTGCTCTACAGAAGCTTTTTTGTTTGATATATTCCCACTTGTTTATTTTTGTTTTGCTGTGTGTATTTTTGGTGTGAAATCCAAAAAATTATCGTCAAGACTGATGTTAAGGAGCTTACCCCTTATGTTTCCTTTTAGGCATTTTATGGTTTCAAGTCTTACATTCTAGTCTTTAATCTATTTTGAGTGCATTTTTGTGTATGGTGGAAGATAGTGGCCAGTTTCATTCCTTTTCATGGCTGTCCAGTTTTCCCAACACCATTTATTTTAGCACTAGAGGCCCGGTGCACAAATTCATGCACAGGTGGGGTGCCTTGGCCTGACCTTCTCACCCAGTCCTGATCAGGGCCAATCTGGGCTGGCCTCCGTGCAGGTGGGACCGCAGGAGGTTGCCCTTGGGAGTGCACTGACCACCAGGGGGCAGTTCCTGTGCTGAGCATCTCCCGTGGTGGTCAATGTGTGTCATAGTGACTGGTCAACCAGCCATTCAGTCGCCGAGTCGTAATGGTCACTTAGACTTTTATTTATATAGATATGTGCTACTGAAGTAGGTGCCCAACACTATTTCTTAAAGAAACTACCCTTCCCCCATTGTATATTCTTGGCTCTTTTGTTATCAATTAATTGACCATATATGCATGGGTTTCTTTCTGGGCTCTCTATTCTCTTCCACTGATCTATGCTTCTATTTTTACACTAATACCCTACTGTTTTGATTACTGTAGCTCTGTAGTATACTATCAAATCAGGAATTGTGATGCCTCTACCTTTTTTATTCTTTCTCAGGTTGCTTTTGCTATTCGAGGTATTTTGTGGTTATATACAAACTTTACAATTGTTTGTTGTGTTTCTGAGAAAATTCCATTGGAATTTTCATAGGGATTGCACTGAATCTGTAGATTGCTTTAGGGAGAATGGATAGTTTCACAATGTTAATTTTTACGATACGTGAGCACATAATATCTTTGCATTTATTTTGTATTCTTCAATTTCTTTTATCAGTGTCTTATCAGTTTTACCTTCTTGGTTAAATTTATTCCTAGATATTTTATTCTTTTTGATACAATTGTAAATGGAATTATTTTCTTAATTTTTCTTTCTGATAGTTCATTAAAGATTAGCCAATTCAAGGTGGACAGAAAAAGACAAATACCATAAGATCTCACTTACAGCTCTAGCTGGTTTGGCTCAGTGAACGGATCATCGGCCTGAGGACCCAAGGGGTCCTGGGTTCAATTCTGGGCAAGGGCACATTCCCAGGTTGTGGGCTCAAACCCAGTAGGGGGTGTGCAGGAGGCAGCTGATCCATGATTCTCTCTAATCATGAATGTTTCTATCTCTCTCCCTTCCTCTCTGAAATCAATAAATATATATATTTTTTAAAATCTCACTAAAAAAACTAAAAAAAAATAACTCACACTCATAGAAAAAAAAAGAGATCACATTTGTGGTTACCATAGGTGGATTGGGGGAAAGGGAAATTGAAAAAAGAGGTCAAATGTGCAAACTTCCAGTTACAAGATAAATAATGACCAAGGATATAATGTACAGCATGATGACTATAGTTAACACACCTATATGATATATATGAAAGCTGTTAATTCTAAGAGTTCTCATCACAAGGAAATAAAATCATTTTGCTTTCTCTTTTTAAGACATGTATGAGATGATGGAAACTAACTAAACATATTGCAGTAACATATGTAAAGTCAAACCATTATACAGTGCACCTTAAACAGTGACATATGTCAATTATATGTAAATAAAACCAGGGGAAACTAATAAACTACCACAAAAAATAATGTACAATTTTAGCTATTTCTCATACGACCTCAACATCACGAACATGCATTTCATAAGAATCAACAACTCACATGCAATTTTAGATATTATAGACTGTGAGGGAGCCTGGGAGCCTTCTCTTTTTTTCATGTTGGCACAAAAAACATCCATTATTTGAGGCTGAAAGATAACAACTTTAACTTTTTTCACAGACTGGACTAGTCCTTTCTGGATAAAGTCTTCAATGGCATCCATTATGGCTTCAGCAACCTTATCTGTGTTTTGTTGAGCTTGTCCTAGAAAGGCAAATAAAAATGACTAGAAAAATAAAGACACAATTGGAGAAGGCTGAGGAATTAGTTAGGGATTCTAATTCTCAGAGAATGCATCCACACCCCAAATTTTTCACCTTCATATACTATTCTATGAATCCATTAGCAAACACATTTGAAGCCCTACTTCAGGGGTGGGCAAACTTTTTGACTCGAGGGCCACAATGGGTTCTTAAACTGGACCAGAGGGCCGGAACAAAAGCATGGATGGAGAGTTTGTGTGAACTAATATAAATTCAAAGTAAACATCATTACATAAAAGGGTATGGTCTTTTTTTTTTTAATTTTATTCATTTCAAATGGGCCGGATCCGGCCCGCGGGCCGTAGTTTGCCCACAGCTGTCCTAGATGCACAGCAAACATTTTTGAAGCCCTAGATGCGGTGGAGAGTTCTTGTTCCAGGATGTCAAGAAGCCAACAGCCCAACAATGAAAAAAGGAAATCTAACTTTTGATGTCTGATGTTCTTATTTGCTCTATTTACCGGAGTCCAGCTCATTGTGTTTCTCTGTGTTACCAAGCACAGTTAATCTTTCTTGGCTCACTAGTGTTCTCAAAACATCCAAAGTAAACGATACTAATACATATTGAATTATCATGCTCTTTAAAGACAACAATTCTGGTTTTGCTTAATCATCAATTGACTTTACAGTGTATCCTTTTACTTTGGGGACTTGATTTACGCTAAGATAATTTAGTAAGACGCCTAGAGCTCTAAGCTTTTGTTATTATATATAATTTTTTACATGCAAGTTATGTTGAACTTCCAGGAAGTCTCTCTTCTCACACTTGGTGAGATTTTAGCTGACTAGCAGGATTTAAGGTTGCCACCTGAGCAGGTCGTCTCCTAATTAAGCATGCTCCATACCCTTTTTCCTCCAGCTGACTGCCTTGGTAAGATCATGGCAAGTTCCTTGAAAATTCTCATGAAAAACCATGGAAGCAGTCCCATCTGAACAGGAGCTGTCACATTGGGTGGGGGAGGAGCAGGTAACAGTGTAGAAGTCCCCTGACAAACCTGGTGTGATAGACTAAAGGCCCACTAGGTTTATCCCCATCGATGGTCCCCACCATTACTGCAGAAATAAGAGTAGATCTCTGTGACTTGGCTCTGTAGACGATTGTGGGAATGTAGACAAACCCCAAATAAAACTAACCAAGAAGGTTTGCTCCAGTTTTTTGCTTTTGTTTTTAATTAGATGAGCAGGGAAAGGGCGAAATTCTCCTTTGCAAAGCTGTTGTTATCTCATGATATTTGGAAGAATTTAAATAGAAGTGTTTAGATATAGTCACTCACTTTCAACAAATATTTAATGTGTCCCATCAAAGGCTAGATGCTCATCTAGGCACTTAGGATACAATGCATATAATATGTAAAGACAATTGGTGTTCAATAGATGAAGTATGGAAAACTGAAGGAAAGCCTAGAACTGAGTAATAGGGGTGTGATATGTGCAACCTCACCTGGTGTGCTCAGGGAAATAGATCTGTTTTTGAGAAAAATAACTCTGCAGGTCCTCCCATACCATGCCAGGGGGTGTGGTAGGAGGGGGGCATGGGAGGCACTGGAGCAGAGAACCCACGTCTAGATAGAGGCTATAATAAAAGTTTAAGCAAAGACAAGAGCTAAATAAAAAGTGGACCAGAGCAAGGAGATATTTAGGAAATAAAGTCAGGAGGACCCAGGGACCAACTGCCTGTATACCTGGCCGGTGTAGCTGATCTAATGTACCTTCTTTTGTCACCCACACATCTTCATGTGTATATCATGAGCACACAGTACTGCGGTTGTTTGTTTACATGTCTGTCTCACAATGAGCTAGGTGGTTCTTGTGGACTGGATGCTTTTCTTAGTTATCTTTCTGTCCTCAATGCCTGAGCATGGTGCCTGGCACATGGTAGTCACTCAGAAAACCTTTAATCAAACTAATAAACTAATTAATAAACATGGGAGTAATAAAGAGAGTAGAGTCAAGGATTCTAGATAGAAAGTGATATAATCAGGGATATAACTGCAGGTAAGTTTTCTGGGAGAGAAGACAATGAATTGGGTATGGAGTTTTCATTGAACTTGAGGTGCTTGCAGGAATCACTAACCACCCATTCTCTCCCTGAGGGCAGATATCTGTAGGTACTAGGTAGAGGGCTTCCTTTAAGGCCAGAAGCTGTCTACATCCCTCCCAGTCAAACTCAACTCATAAACACCACTAAGGGAGAAAGCATCCCCATCTATTAGTCTAAGGACCAGCTCAGGTGGTGATAGAGATAAGCAAAGAAGA